AGGATAATGGAAGATTGGCCTATGAGAGATATCGGGCTGCTTGCAAGGTTGCGGATAGAACTAAACAGCTAAGAAAACAAGTAAAATTACGAAGTAATATGGCACTATGTTTATACATCTCCAATTGTTGTCTAGAAGCACAATTATATGCTTTATCGGCAATTAATTTAATAATTCGGAATCCTGAGGATGCCACACAACAAGATCTGTTTGATGCAAAAGGAGTATTTAATAAAGTTAAAGGCGACGGAGCTACTAAAAATAACTCTACATTAAACAATGACAATAATATTGAAAAGACACTGGCTTTAACCAGAAAGGCAGACTATGGAATTTCATACTCCCAGAAAACTGCGACTAAGGAATCAATTAATGAGGATCTAAAAGTAATATGCACTGAATTAATTATTCGTGCAGAACGTAGTTTGGGACAACCGCAAGCATATGGCGAAGGAATTTTGCGTGCAAAAGAGCGTTCTTTTCAATATAAAGCAAAAGGAGGGACGGCTATAGTGGGCGGAATAGGCATAGGAGGATCAGTGGCAGCGAATGCTGGCTTAAATATTTATGCAGCAATTGCAATTGGAGCTGGAGTTAGTAATCCACTTATATTGATTGGAGAATTAGCAATTGGTATAGCAACTCTTGGTTTAGGGATATGGGGCGGTGTAACATTATGGAAGGAAGGTGCTATTCTTTTAGAAGAGCCAACTATTCGTGAAAATCTCAATAAGATTATGGTAGAGGCATTAAAGGCTTTTGATGAGGGAGATCACCAAAAATTTCTTGATACTCTTACAGAGGAATTTACAACAGGTATCTGTCTTTTAAAATTAAAAGATCGTAGTGATATTATTGACACTGAAAAAATGATAGATACACTTATAAAACATGGCTTCAGATCAGATGGTATAGCTTATCTATTTAATTTGATTGGAGAGGTTTTAAGTAGTGGGAAAGTAAGAATTGAAGGAAAAACAAAAATGGAGTTAACGGAACTTGCAAAAGATGTTTTATTAGGAGCGCTTAATAAGGAACTTGAAGTTTATGCCAAAAGACTTGATGACCGCATTTGTGAATTACGGGTAAATGGTATTACGGCTCATTTTGCGAATTTTTTTGACCTTAGTGAGTTTAATGGCATAGCAAATGAAGCAAATAAACACCTCAAGGATGCTGAAGAAATGCCCTTTAAATCAAGACTGGATGAAATGTGTAATATCGCAAATATTAACCTTGCAATTATTGATATGCTCGCTGGATCAGAAGAAATTAGTCGAGCTAGAACAACTATTAAGGAAGTTCGAAATTCAATAAATGCTAATTATCAATTTGTTGGTACTGTGGAAACACGTCTTGAAGTTTTGGAAGATTTTTTGTGGATTATAAGTGGCGAGGAATTGCCTGATACAAATGAATTACCTCTAAATACTTACATCCTAGATCCTTTTCAAGGCATAGATAAAAATAAACATATCTGCTCCCTGAATGAAAAAGTACGGAGTGTAACCTTGGATCAAGATAAAAAGGATCTTTATATTGAAATTGCAGCATGTCATGAGAAGTTAGCTGAAGAAGAGGATAAAATTAACCAGTTACGCAGCCTATATAATTGGAAAAAAGCTCAAAAGAGTTATGAGAAAGTACGTGAAATAAATAGCACAGACATAGCTGCTACTCTTGGTTTTGCAAGATGTTTATTAAAATTATCCAAATATAAACGGGTTATTGAACTTTTAAAAAGTCCACATTTAAATCTGTCATTAAAGTACGATTACTGGTACCTTTGCAGCATTGCTTATTCTAAGCAAAATGATTACAAAAAAGCAAATGAGTGTATTATCGAAGCACTGAGAATAATTCCCCAAAACAAATTGGCCATGAGGCAGAAAAGGCTCGTTGAAAGGCTAAGGAAAGAAAATACATTAAAAAATCGTATTGATCATTATCAAAGAGAAAAAAAAGCCATAAAATGCGAAGAAGATTATCTAATAAATTCCCGTAACAATAATCATGTTTATAGAATCCTCTCCATTGATGGAGGTGGCATACGTGGAATATTACCTGCTTTATGGCTCAGTGAACTAGAATATCGTGCCCATAGACCCATTTCTCATCTATTTAACATGATATCTGGAACATCCACAGGTGGGATTATTGCTGCTGGACTATCAGCACCATCCTGGCATCAAGTCTCAACAGAATTGACAGAATCATCTGGATACAAATATTCAGAGTTTGAACCATTATTCTCAGCTTCATCTTTATTAGATTTTTATCAGAATAATGCAAAAAATTTATTTGCTTCAGATAATTCACTTATGGGTTACTTCAAACTAAATACAACAACAAAATATAACAATGAAGGTCGTCTTTCAATGTTTAAGAAGGATTTTGGTGATGCTCGTTTAGATTGTGCACTTACTCAATTGGTTATCCCTGCAGCAAGAAAAGAAGGTAACCTTACTCACTCGCATTTATTTACACATTTTGATGCACTTAAGGATGAGTCAAGAAATGATACTTTTGTTAATGCTTTAATGGCAACAACAGCTGCACCATATTTTTTTCCACCCCACAACATAAATGATAAGGGTGTTTTTCTAGATGGCGGATTACATCTTAATAATCCTGCAATGGAAGCTTACAATGAAGCTATTCGATACAATGTTGCTAGGGAAAAGATTTTTATGCTTTCAATGGGTACAGGGAGCTATATACCGGATCCTTTCAATCCAGATCTATACCACGGTCAACTTTTTTGGGAACAGAATCTTCATAATGCAATGTCTCCTACACAAGAAGACAACACTAATAAACAATTGTATACTAATTTGGGAAATAAATATCAGCGATGGCAAGTTTGGTTTGAAGAGCCATTGAAATTTGATGATATCAATAATATTTCAACCCTTTTAGAAATAGGCAATCAGCACATAGAAGAACTTGATGCTTCGGATGAGAATCCCTTGAACAAACTGGTAGAGTCTTTTGAGGAGCAAGAATCTAATGATTCAAATAATGACAACTATAGAAAAATCGAATAAATTGTTATTATTATTATTATTATTATTATCATCTTAATAAAATTATTTTCTGACAACATAAATAAATAATTTAAAATTAATAATTACAGGTGTGTCAATACGATCTTTTAAAACATGTATATTTGATTGTTTAGATTGTCACCAATTAAATTGGTGTAGAATGTAAAAGATTGGGGCGTTACATATCAGCATAAACACAAACATAGTTGAGCACACATAAAAAATCATATATGCGGATTTTTTTTGCCGATCAATAGATGTAAAAATTTTAATATATATAAAAAATAAACAAAATTCAAACTCTATCTCCTCCCTATTTATCAAATAGACCTCCATTAAAAATTAGTATATAGGTACTAAATAACGAATAATTCAACATAATGGCTTTATTTTTTTAATTTTTTGTTTATAAAAAAAAAGTTATATGACAAAAAAAAGTTTTAAACAAAAATAAAATTTTTTTTTAATAAAATTTTTAAAAATCCACAGCCATTAAGTGAAAGTGTAAGTTTCAAGCTTTTATTTGGTACTAATTTTATAACTGTAGGAGAAGAATTGGTGGACTAGATAGATTTTAAAAATTTTCGTAGAGATTTATTAGATTATATATTAAATCCGTTTTAAGAAAGATCATCATGTTGAACATGTACAGTCAGACCTCCATAAGTGCACCCCCCTTGGGACCGAGGGACACCGTGCATTTATGGAGGGTGTGCATTTATAGAGAGAAGCAATTTCATTGGTTGCACGTGTTACATGATTTTTTTTAAAAAAAATATATATATTAATATATTTATTATTTATTATATTTAAAAATTTAATTAATATTAAAATAACTATCCATTGTAGTTTGTTTCGATGAATTTACTCTTTTTACATTGATATATCTTTCGATTTTATTAACCAATTTTATTTGTTCACTAGCATTTTCTTGCTGTAATAAAAATGCATGTACAGTTTCAAGACTTTTTAATGCTTCCCCATGGCTTATTGTTGGTTGTTCATTGCTATCATCATCTTCATCAAAATCATCATCAGGTATATTCATATTATTTTTATATATTTCTGCAAGTTCTTCAATAATTTTATTGTCCTCTGGAACCTCATAGACAATATTTTCTACAGGGATATTCAAAAATTCATCAACTTGCATTTTATCAAATAGGTTAAGGGTGGCGAGTATTTCCGAAAGTTCATTCAATGTTGAGTCATCTGTTGTTCTAATATTATCAGACATATTTGATAATTCTGCATTAATACCAGCTGGAAGGATGTTGGTGTGTCTCCAACAGTTACGAAGAGTTTCAGGTGTGATTTCTTCCCAACTTTTTATTACGAATCTTATTGCCTGCAATATATTCATTTTTAAATCTTCTATTTTCTCACCTTTTTCAATTTCATCTAGCAACTATCTTTAAAAAAAATCGTGTAAATACTCAAAAATTAATACAATAATCATAAGACAAAAAATAAGTACATACTTGACATGATGACGTCTATAATGCCTTTTAAATGACATAATTATTCCTGCATCCATTGGTTGGAGTTTTGAAGTGGTATTTGGAGGTAGGAAAAGAACATCAACATGTGAAAGTGCCAAACCACCTATTTTATGGCTTGGACAATTATCAAGTAGCAACAAAACATGCTGACCATTGTATTTTTGAATAATAACATTATTAAATTCTTGAATCCAATCTTGAAAGACAGTTGTTAACATCCAGGCCTTAGGATTGCTACAATACTTAATAGGTAAGCTCTTGATGTTAACATTTTTAAAGCATCGTGGTTTGAGGATTTTCCATTTATTAAAGGCTCTGTTTTATGAGTTCCCTCTGCATTAGTACACAAAGCAATGGTAAGCCTTTCTTTATTTTTTTTACATCCAGAAAGACGTATTGTAGCCAATGTTTTGTCTGGTTCTAACCTGTAAAAAATTATGTTATTAATATTAGCAAATTTTACTTTCAATAGAAATTTTTTAGGATGTAGTATTAGAAAAAGGGAAAATCTAAACATAATGGGCAGTTATATCATGGATTATTAGAATTAAACTTAGATTTTATTAGGAAAAAAATAATAACCTGTAGAAAAGACCAGTTTCATCCATATTATAAATTCTTTCGGGTGGATAATGTTCACACTTATTTTTCAATAATGGTAAAGCATCAATAACAATACTTAGATCAACTGATGATGCTTCTCCATGAAGTTTTTGCTGACAAATTCCATTACGATCTTTAAATTTTTGGAGCCATCCAGGAAAAAATGATAATGCTCCACTTGGAATTTCCAGTCTGTCTGCTAGCTGTTTAGCTTTTTCAATTATAAGTGCATCACTCAAAATCGTTTTACCTTGATAAACTAGAATAAATTCTTTAAGTGCAAGTTCAAGTTCAGGAAAAGTTACTGACTTATGTCTTTTTGCTTCTGGATTAGAAATTTCCATGTTAAGTATTTCATCACTTTTTTGTAAAATTCTAGTAATTGTTGATTCATTCACTTTAAGCCCCCACTTTTGCTCAATCCAATTAACATATTCTTTTCTTGCTAATTTATTATTATCACGAGTATATAAGCAGAATTCATATTTTTGGGAATTGTTTAAAGTTACTTTGCTTTTTGAAGACATTTTATTTTGAAACAAGTAATGATAATAAATAAATA